CCAGAGTAATAGGGACAAAAGTGGTATAAAAAATAAAATTAAAATGTCCTCCAACCTATTTTTTCTGCATTGTATGGGAACTAAACTCAGACTAAATTTGGGATCCACTATACATACGTCACCCGACGTGAAACGGTTGGTCGTTTCTCCAACACCACTCCATTTTGACGATTTTACTACTTGCTTGGTGAACCAAGCTTTGGATGGACAGAATTGCAAGGAAAGCAGAAGAAAAACTGCTTAAAATGTGTCATTTTAGTAACAGGACATGAATGGCCTTCAGACATGGAACAAAGAAAGTCGAGGATTTTCGGAACGGCACGAGTTCCCGCGGGAAGCTCTGGAGTTTAGTTTTGTCAAAAAAAAAATAATGAAATAAAAAATTTCTCGGGTCGATGCGCCGGTTCGGGAGGGGATGACGAAAATTATCTATTTGAAATTTATTTGCGGTTGGTGGAGTCGCGGGGCGGGGCGGGGGGGGTTGCCAGGGGTGTTAGGGGTGTTTCTTTTCGGCGAGAGGGCCGGTCTGATTTTTGGACTCGCTCCGAAGTCGAGGGTCGACTGCGGGATTTTCCGTTTCCGCGTTTGTCTACGCCGTCGTCGGGTGGATTCTCGGCTCCGTTGTCGTCGGTGGGTCGTCTCCCGGCGACGCCTTTTTTCGACGGCTATGGGCGGTGTTTTTGCGGTACGTGTGAGTTCGTGGTTGAATTTATTTTTCGCGCGAACGAGGGTTTTTGGTGCGAGATGTGAGAATGCCGCGGACTAACGAGGTGTACGGCGGGAATACCGGCCTCCGCCCTCGAACCGGGCCGTGTCGTTCCTTTGCTTTTGTCGTTTTAGAGGCTCTTTTCGCCCTCACGTGGATCGAGACTGGATTCGTAGACTTTTCGAGGAGTTTTTTCGCGCCGTGGCCCGCGCCGATTCTCGCGCGAAGTCGAAGACGAAGGCGCGCGAGTCGTCGTCGAGGAAGCGAATTTTCGGCGCGGGAACGAATCGCCAGGAATGCGAGCTCGTGGAATCCCCGTGTGGCAGGTGCGTGGAGGAAGTCGGTCGCGGCCGAGGCGCGGCTCCTTCGCGTTTTCAAGGCGTCGGAGGTGCGCCCGACCCGGGAGATCGGATTCCCGTTGTGCTTCATACGCTTGGATGCGTGTGCGATCGGGGGAGAGGGAAGCGGACGTCGGCGGGTCGGAAGGCCCAAGGGGGGTAAGCGAAGGGGAGGCGGGTGGGAGATGGGTCACGGGATGTACTGGGCGGGAGGGACGGGGGAATGGAAGGGGGGGTGAGGCTCGATGTGGCAGACGGGGAGGATGAACGCGACGTTGCCTCCGGGAATGCCCCCCTCTCCCCCCCCTCCCGCATGCAGGCCTCGAGCGGGACTCCCGTCCTTGGGAGAGTGGAAGTGACGATCACTCGCCTCCGACGTGGGGTGTCGTGGCGGCTGGTCTTCCGTTTCTGCCCGCTTCCGGCAGATCGTATCCTCGAGGAATGATGCAGCGTTTTCCGACTCGAGTCGGACCATTTCTCGCTCGGCTCGGACGCTCCCGCGTGGGTCGTCGGAGGAAAACGAATCGGACTCGAGTGAAAAACACGTCGGCCTGCCCTCGTTTTCCCTGTTCGCGACGGAAACCGTACCTCTTTCTCGATGGGTGGCAGTGAAGAACGTCTCTCTGCGTTTGCTTTTGCCAATTTTTAAAATATCGGCAACGATCTCGTGTTCGGCCGGGGACAGGTTCCACTCGGGTCTCTCCAGAGCATATCGGAGAGCAGAGCCGTGGAAGACGGAGATATCCGAGAAACTCATCGGAAGGCAGCAGAAGGAAATGGAAGGATTCCTGGACTACAAGCAGATCGTCGAGAAGTGCGTCTCGAATATTTTTTTTTTTCCGAAGTCGGCCCGGAAGAGTCGTCACGCTCCCGTCTCGCGGCAGGTCGACGTGGGTGAAGAGCGCCGTCTGCCAGTGGCTGGACGCGACGGGACTCTGGCTGGACGCGGTGATCGATCTCGAGACCGTCGGCGGCAGCAGCCAGGGTTTCGTCGAGAGCGGGTTCGTCCGGGTGCGGATCAAGACCCGGCCGGGGAAGGACGTGGGTCGCCTCGTTTTCTTTCTGTCGTTCGAAAGTGCGTCGAGTCGAGGCGAAAGTGTGGGGTCTCGTCGGCAGGTGTTGGCGAGTCTGTCCGAGGTGACCTGCGTGTGGCCGCTCCTGGACCCGAAGAGGCCGACCGTGTCGGTCGAGACGGCGAAGGGGACGAAGCGTCGGCGGCCGATCAAGGTCGCCTTCCCGAGCGAGACGGAGATGGAAGACTGGCTGGCGCAGCTCGGTTACGGTCGGTCTCGCGTCCGGGATTCCGAGAGTTCGGAATCCGAGCGACGAGATCTCTGACGGTGCCCTCGATTCTCTCGTCCACCAGGCGTGATGCAGGTCCGAGGGCAGACGGAGAGCCCGAAGAAGAACGCGGTGTGGGCCACGACGGGGCGAGGGGACGTGTTCGTCTGGGATCCGCCGGAGGATCCGAGCGCCGCGGTCCCGGAGGACGATCCCGATCGGGCGACGAAGATGTACTGGAGGCAGATCGGGGGTCACCTGCTGAAGGTGGAGACGTCGCCTGCCGGGGTCGTCTGGGGCCTCGGGTACGACGGGACCTGCTGGGCGTACACCCGAGGATACGGAGGGGAACCGTGGAAGAGTGGGTTTTTTTTTTTTTTTTTTTTTTTGCCGCGGTCGGTCGCACAAGTCGGCTTTGCGATCCATTGCGTCCATTCACAGGGAACGGTGCGTTTTGTAGCGCACGAGAAGTCCTCAGTAGTTTTTTCCTTTCTTCTTACGCTTCCAATGTTGGCGGAGTCGTTCACTTAGTGAAAGAGTTATCTTCTTACAATGCCCGCTTCATGCCCCATTAAAGGAGACACGAAACCCGGATCTCACCCATCATCTTCCTAATACAGTATTGTACTTCGTTGCATCTTGGGGTTGGAATGGAATTTTGAACGGAGATCTTTGCATTCCTAGCGTCCCCTCATTCGATGTCTGATTTGCAAAGTCATGCCGCTCTGTTATAGACCCCCTCCCAGAAAAGAAGTCCTGAATGGCTCATGGAAATGATGTAATGCAAGGTATGACAGGGGAGGGCAGAATAATTTTTTTTGCCTTGACCGTGATCAGGTGGTCTTGTTAATCCGAAAGTGACATCTTTTTGTTCTTCGTTATTAGCCTTTCTTCCGACTTCCATGGGTCCTTTACTTTCAAGGTCATAGATTTAAGAGCTAACTGCTGTACGAGCTACGAATACCTTTTATTCATACAGTACCTATGCCCTCACTCTCGCTCCCCATGCCACTGCACTGACTTACAATAGGCCTCCCGCCCTTCTAGGAATCTCCTCCATTGTTGAGTCATGACAGAATTAGCACATTGAACGTCGAATCTTTGATACCTTACCTATGCATGGTCATAATCAGGTGGCTATATCTCTTTTTACACGCACTACTTGCTTCTGAAAACTTCTGGGCTGAGATTGCCTTGCCATATGGCGAAGGTGCTTAGAGAGGAACTGCACTCATCTGAATCTGAACGAAATGACTCCTTGTGTGACGAAAATTTCCGGGTTCCAGGCATCCATGCCCGTGAAGATGACCACGGTATGGTTGCAACCATCTTGTTTCATTTCCTCCCTTCTCGTGCTCATCCAAGCCTTGATTATGATTAACGGAATTCCCCCCAGTACTAACCGCTCAGCATCAGATGGAACTTCAAACTTCAAGTCGATACTTAATCCACGAGAACGATGACGCCTGGATGACGGGAAGCATAGATTATCCTGGCCTTTTGGGCCTGTGTTGTGTGTTGGACGAAGGCATGTATGCCGCTTGGTTTCCGGGATACGCCGCCGCAAAAGGCTTCATATGTACAAGGTATACTCGTCGAAATGCGGAGGATATGGAGGCAATCGGATCGATTTATCGATAATGAATCTCCGTAGGTGTTCTCTCCTTTCTCCTCCTTCCCTCAAATGTGATTAGATGTCTTTAACGTAATGTATAGTAGACAGACTCACTATAAACCCATGATCGCGGACAATGACTGGGAGAAGGAGCTGGATCACCTTGGCTTTGAACTTGGGAATCGCAGTTCAAGGTTCCCGCAGACTATTTTTTTAATCCTCTTTTTCCATCCTGATCGTCCTCTGCATTCTAATAGAGGACATCTTTACCCATGATCACAACTTACAGACTATTTTTTCTGTTTTTCTTACTTGTGATCTCTCTATACTTTTTTCTCTGTCTTTCTCCGGTTCTTGTCACGTCGAAGATTGAGGAGTTGGGAAAGCCTGCACGCGCCGGATGGATATTTTGCAACGCACGATATGACCTTTTGGGGCTATTCCCTACAAACGTATTTCATCATCCTCACCGATATGATAGGGAAGAGGCAGAGGTACTAGATTTTTTCCCCTATATATTCTGAAGGGAAAAGAGGGAAGGGAACAGAAAAGTGTGTCAGAAATATTATTTCCCAAGTCGTCCAACCAGATGGCACGCGGCGAAGTTATTTTGGTATCATATCCGGGGAGGGAAAGACTTTGTTGTTCCCTGATAATATACCGGATTACGACATGATTCCGGCTTCCCTTCTCCCTCTCCCCCCTCGTCTGGGGGAAACCCACAGGGCCATACCATACCTACATCCTATTCTCCTCTATGTACATCCTGTAGGCTGTCATATGATAAGAATCCTTTCCCCCTCCCGCCTATCTCTTAATAAAACCGTTGTGAAGCGGAAGTAGGAAGTAGGGTGCGAACTCCTATCAGGCATCTTCGGGTTTCTCCTGTCAAGGTTGAAGGACAGAAAAAGAAGCGCTAATAGGGCCGTCACGAGAGCCAGGAGGAGAGAAGTCTACCGTGAATGGATTGTTTGTGCAAGTTCATGCTGACACAGTGAGACTTCGTCAGCAGTTAGAGAGTAGTTTGGAGGAGGGCAGGAGTGTATTTGATTGGGAGAATGCCAGGCACCAGGACCTTCAAGTCATTGGGGACACCCTGAAACCCTGAACACCGATGCAGGAATTCTTCCATCTCTCGCATTCCTCCGCGCTGCCAACCTGTCCTACGGGTTTTTTTTATTTTTTCTCGTTTCGTCCCCTTCGGGCTTCCCAGTTTACCACTGTCCGACTTTTTTTTCCCCCTTTCCCTTCCGTCTGCCGGGAGTTTCCAGCCGAGATCGTGCAACCTTGTATCCGGCTTGTTTGCTTTCATTCCGAGGGCGAATTCGGGCGAAGTGGGACAATCGGGGTTTGATTGAGGGATGCTGCTTTGTTTTCTAGAGCGGAAAAGGCATGCTCGTCGAATTATGAAGGCCGGACGGATCCATTTTCTTTGACTGAAGGCTTTCCCTTCCTCGACTCCTGCTGCTGTTGTTGTTTTGCGATAACGGCATTCTTTTATCTTGTGACTAGGAAGCATGCAGAATGAATGGTTTTGGTGAGAACGAGAGGAGCGTGCTGACGCCCGGCCCAACTATATAAACCAATCTCTCATGTAGTCACATACATACCTCGTGAGGTAGACTCATAGACACTTAGTTTTTCATGGCGAGATTCTGGAGTACCTCATTTTCCGAACGGGAATAGTTTGAAATCTCCGATTTATTACATGTTTCTCACACCATAGACATCAAAGCGCAGTGGATTGGATCGAGGCATGATATGGAGTACATGTCTTGGGAATGAGTGAAGGGAGGAAAGGGGTTTCCCCACGACAGCGGTGATGCAACCGCCTTCATGCACTTCCACTCCCTCTCCCTTGGCTTTTTTTTTTCCCGTGGGCACTGATCCTGGAATTGTGTCGTTTTCTCTCAATTTCCTCCTTTCCATTCGAACAGAGGTCTCTGCCTTGTCTAGATATCGAATGATGTTGGAGTAACTTAAATTCATGCTATTCACTTCAAACAACAAGCGATGGAAAATATGCTCCCAAATGCTCTTACGCCTTTATCTCTGTTAGTGTCAGTTTTGGAACTCAGTGAAGGAGGATTAATTTTCACACCTTGTTGGCAGCCCACTCTTATGGATTTCCAGTGTTCGAATTTTATATTCAGGAACAGTGCGCGGACGTGTTGACTACGA